ACAGAGTTTGTGGATTCAAAAGGCTTCTATAGCCTAGGCAGCTCATGTCAAGTGCCTTGGGTGGTCACTGACATTGTACATGAGTGTTGTTAAAATAACAACAGGAGTCACTGTGCACTAACTGCCCATGCAGGACCTCTGTCCTCAATGAGTTGTATTATGAGGTAACTGTAAAACTGCTTCTCAGCTTTTTAAATTTTGTGTGTGTGTGCAAACTGTTGAAATATTTACTTAGTGTAGAGTTGGTCTTCTGTGCACAAAGTTAATTGAAAATGAATCTTAATGAAGCATGAGACTGGGAAGGGGAGAGGGGAGAAGGGGTGGGAGGGTGGTATGTTTGGAAGAATCACTATATTCCTGAAGTTGTACATATGAAATTTGTATTCCTTAAAAATAAAATAGAGTAAAATAAAATAAATATTCTTTATGAATTACCCAGTGTCCGGTATTTTGTTACATCACAAGTGAATGGAGACACCCTGTACAGCTCAACCTCCCTGGTAGCACCTCCCTGTCACCTTCCCAGTGGGAGCCTTGGTGAGAGGACCCTAAAGCTCTGTGTTCAAGGCTTAATCCATGGGAAAACCTCTTGACCTGCATCAGGACTGAAAGGTGACCTCCTTAGAGGAAACCACACTTCCAGTGGGGAGGATCAGAGCTGCCACTGATAAAAGAACACAGAGATGACCTGGTAGCCAGCAGGTGTCGGTGGCCACAGAGGAACTGAGGCAAACAACCACCCCTCCTCTCAACTTCCTAGCCCTTGCCCACAAAAATATACGCCCAGGGAACTTGCCCGAACATCTAAGGAGAAAATGACACCACCTTCAACTCAGTCTCTCCCACCAAAAATAAACTCTAATACAGTCACACCCAAGACCCCTCCTCCAGAACTTTCCTTCAGCGACTGCCTCAGACGAGAGCACACAAGTCCCCAGACACTGCTAGCCTTCCCAGCACCCAAGCCTGCCCTGGCTCTAACCCTAGTAACAACCGGCAAGTACGGTGTCAAGTGCTCCCCATGTGTCACCTCACTGCGGCACCATGAGAAAGCCCAGGCAGATGCTGTGCTCACCAGGGGCATGGAAATTAGAACCAGATGGTTCTTCCCCACCTGCTGCTCATTCTCACCCTGCATTTCTTCATTCCACTCCCCAGAAATGTTTACTGAGTTCCTATAGGGTACCGTGCTACAGGCTGGGATTACAGAGAGAGCAAGACAAGTCTTGTGTTTAAGACAAGGAATGGCAACGAACCATCAGCATTACTGTTGTTAAAAAGAAAAAAATCAGGACGTTCTGAGAAGGAGCGATGGGGCATCTCTGAGTAGATGCTTTGGAAATAAGGAAGTTAATACTTCAACGTGAGCAGGGAGCCCTTTGGCTCTCTGAGCAGCACCATGGCGGCTGGCAAGAACAAGCACACTGCCAAAGGTGGCAAAAAGGTGGCCAAGAAGAAAGCAGTTAGTCCATTTTCTAAGAAACAGCTGAATGATGAGGAAGTTGGTGCCTCATCCAAGGAAAGAAATACAGGGAAAATACCAGTCACCAGCACTCAAGTAACCTCAGTCCCATGGGATGGCCTGAGGGGTCATGTGCTGGAATGAGTCTTGCCAATTCGCAGAATGATGAAGATGCATTTAGAAAAGTCAAAGGCCGGTGCCGCAGCACAACAGGCTACTCCTCCGCCTAACGGCGCTGGCAACTGAGTTCTAGACTTGGTTGGGGCGCCGGATTCTGTCCCGGTTGCCCCTCTTCCAGGCCAGTTCCCTGCTGTGGCCTGGGAGTGCAGTGGAGGATGGCCCAAGTGCTTGGGCCCTGCACCCCAAGGGAGAGCAGGAGAAGCACCTGGCTCCTGGCTTCAGATCAGCGCGGTGTGCCAGCCACAGCGCGCTGGCCGCGTCGGCCATTGGAGGGTGAACCAACGGCAAAGGAAGACCTTTCTCTCTGTCTCTCTGTCTCTCCCTCTCTCACTGTCCACTCTGTCAAAAAATAAAAAAAATAAAAAATAAAAAAAAAAAAAAAACAGAAAAGTCAAGAAATAGCCGGATTAACCTCATGGCACGGATCTCACCTCTGACAACAGGTGTTCCATGGTCAACACACAAGCACATTATGACTGAAACTCACATTCATATCAAGAACATAGGTGGCTTTCTCTCTTCTGTGTTCATTTTACTAAAGCAGAGTGAGAGGTAGGTAGGTGAGAGAGAGAGGGAAACTCACTAGATACAGAAGAACTCTACACTCGTCACACCTCCAACAGGTCCACCAAATTGGGAAGACGATGTCGACCCGGGAGGTACAAATGTCATGAAAGAAATTATCAATAAACTGACTGAAGACAACACTGGAGAAGACCCAGAGAAGGCTTGCTCCTATATATATCCCATCTACGATGATAATGACACAGCTGCTAAACTTGAACAGGCTCATAGATATAAACTGCCAGTTCAAGAATTTGTGTAGAATTCAGATTTTTGATAGTTACACATAAAAAGTCCTATTTGTCAGGGAATAAAAGACCAGTGAGTTGTCTGGGCAGACTGTGGGGAGACCATTCCAGGTAGGGAAAGCCATGTGCAAAGGCCCTGTGTTTGAAACAAGAGGAGCAAAGGAGAGTTCTGGGAAACAAGATGAGAACAGTAGGCAGGGCCACAGAAGAATCTGGATTTTATTACACAGGCAGTAGCCACACTTTGTGAGTTCCAAGCAGAACAGTAAATGATGAGATTTACATCATAAAAGCTCCCTTTGCAGCTAGGTAGAGAAGGCTTGTGTTGGGATAGAGATGGTGATGGATGAGGGAGAACAGTATGGAAGCTGCTGCAACAACCCAGCAGCAAGTAGAGTATCTCAGCTTAGGACCCTGCAGTGCAGAGTGGAAGAATCAGGTGGCTTAAAAGGAGGTTTTGGTAACAGCACTGTTCCTGGCCATGGGGAGAGAGGATAAGGATACGCTCAAGGGTGGCCCGGGATTCGGCCCGCATATTTAGGTAAAGGGAGGTGCATTCCCCAAGTTGGAAGATGGAGGAAGGACTGTGTTTTGGGGATGGGGCAAACAGCAGAGGGGCCAATAAAAGACAAGAGTCTGGCTGGGACACCAGAGGGGCCAGGCATGAGGCTGCCTCCTCAGTGCCCAGGAGGATCTGAAAGGAGGGCCAAGGTCTGTGTGCACAGTGCTCCCGAGAGAAACCCAAGTTCTAAGTCCATGGAGAGAGAGATACCCAGGGTTTATGGATCCACAGGCTCACTGTCAAGGGGTCAGTTCTCCCCAGCGGATGCACACATTCAAAGCATCCTGGATCAAGGGCAGGCATTTGGTGTAGTGGCTAAGATGACGCTTGGGATGTCACATCCCATGTAGAAGACCCTGGGTTCAAGTCCTGGATCCAGTTTCCACCCAGCTTCTGGCTAATGCACACAGTGGGCAGCAGCAGGTGATGACTCAAACACGTGAGTGTTGTCCTGCAAGTGGGAGGCCCAGATGGAGTCCTAGGAGCCTGGCTTCATCCTGGCACAGCCCTCCCTGGCTGCTGAGAGCATTTAGGGGAATGAGGGAGCCAATGGGAACACTCGCTCTCCACTTCCCTACACCCCGCCCCCTTGCCTTTCAAATAATTGAATAAAAACATTCTTGATCAAAACACCAGCAGGCTTCTTTGTAGAAACCGAGCTGCTGACATTAAAATGATAAAAGTTGTCCAGCCCTGAGAGGGGCCTTTCTCCCCTCTTCTGTGGCTTTGGAGAAAGGAACATGGGAAATACAAGGGTTCATTGAAGCCAGGGTAGAAAACACCAGACTAAACCAGACTAAAACCAGAGCATTTTTTACATACTTTGAGGTAGGGAAGCACTGTTTCATCGCATGCACACGGACTACAGACAAGAGGGGCTGGGGAGCATGACAGTTGAGAACTGTGTTGTATAATTATCAGGCACTTACCGTCAACCTGAGAATCTAATATACTGATAAATTCTTTAAGAAACAAAAAGAGGGGCTGAGTAACGTGAAGTGGGAAAGTCTGGGATGGGAAGGCCAGTCGTGAGGGGCAGTGACCGCTCCTGCTGGATCAGTTGGGGTCAGCCAAAAACAGGGTGGGAGTGGCCATGCTGGTCAGCAGTGCTGCGGCTTCAACAGAAACAGTCTTTTGGCTGTCTCCTTGAAGCTGCTCACTTTCCTTATCTCCTCTAATGGACCACACAGGACTGCGCTCCCCACACAGTGTTTTAACTACCAAGTCACATGTTGACAGTTAACGGCTCGATGCTAGGGTAGATTAAGACACTTGACCTAATGAGGGGACCCAGAGGTGGGACCACTACGAGGTCCCTGGAGCTTGCCCTTGGCAGAGTTCTCACCAGAGGGTTGCTTACATAAGCCTAGTCTGGCTAGCTTCTGCTTCCTGGCTAGCTCTCTGTAGGATCCTTCCTGTGCACACCACCACCACTGCCAGCCTCCACCAGATGCCAAACTGATGGGACCGCCTGATCCTGAATTGTGAGCTTCCAAACTGTAAGCCTACATGGACCACTTCAAACCTCCTGACAAACTGCCCTCAGGTATTCTGGGTAAAGTAATGAAAAACTAGGACATCAATGGCCCCAGAGTACAAGCCCCAGATCAGCCCTCGGGCTGGGCAGCCACCCTCTCCAGGCCCTCCCAGCACAGCCCAGGGGGCCCTTGTCTTCTCTGCTGCCCAACACTCCAGCCCAGACACATTCAGCCCCAAGGCTCCAGGCCTCGGCATCCCCAGGAGCAAAAAGGAGAGGACAGTGTGCCCACCAGTGAAGTCGGTGATGCTGAAAAAGAGGCAGTGGGGCTTAGGGATGGGCTCAGGTCAGAGTCCTGTGACAGGAGGAATCTTGGGGAGGGGGAGGGACGCAGGCACCAAGCAGGGCCAGAGGATCAGAAGAGGGAAGAAACAGAGAAGGGAAGTCTGCTCTGCACACTTCACCCCAAGACGGCTGACACCACTTCCTCTGGTGAAATCCCGTTCTGGGCCCCCCCAGACACCTCAGCAAACCCATACTCCTGGGGAGGAGGTGGGCAGAGCCTCCTGCAGGGCCAGCTCTGTGGGTCACCGAGGCCCCCAGGCCTCCGCCTCTCACCTGGCAGCAGTTGCAGGCTCCGAGTTGGCCATATTTAGTGATGATCCCACGGACTCTTTGCTGCTCTGTCCAAGGCAAGTCACAGATTATCCAGGGTGCTCACTGCTGGGGAGGGGAGCTCAGAGATACAGCTTTCTGTGGCCTAACCCCCAAACCAGATGCTGTCCACTCATAGCGAGGCTCAGAGCCTGCTGGGCAGCCAGGCCGAAGCGTCTCACTGGGGAGGAAGGCTCTCAGCGACTCCACAGGTCTGGACTCTGAGTCTCATGGTCTGAAGCCAAGCTGCTCTGAGCTTCTACCTCCCCGCAGATGCATTGCCCATTCTGGGGCTCACTCTACAGCTGTGGGGCTGCCCTCACCTTGGCCTTTAAATCTGGGGAAAGATGTGGACTCTGAACAAGGAGGTACCAGCAGTGAGAGGAGTTAGCTGGGCCTTTGTTCTGCTGGGTTCTACAAGAGGGGGAAGAAGATCAAGCCGGACACCCAGGTGCTGGGGTTGAGGACTGCGACCCCCACCATCTTCTCCTCACCTGGGAGCCATATCTTGGGGCACAGCGGGGCAGGGACTGCACCTGCCTGAGAGCCTGCACTGGTCCTGGGTAGCCCCCTCCCCTAGGATGAGACGGGAACAGACGCTCAAGCACCAGAGGACAGCCAGCCGAGGTGCGGGAGGGCAGTGATGGACTAAGTGACAAACAGCAGAGTCAGAGGCAGAGAGGTAGAGGGTGAGCCAGCAAGAGACAGCCCAGGTCATGCTGAGGAAGTGAGCTGGGCAGAGACTGAGGTGGGAGGAGGGCGTCCCAGCCAGCCACGGTCAGCACCAGGCCTCTCAGCAGAAGATGGGGCTGGATGTCCTTAGACAGGGCTGTCTTGGCCCTGACCACAAGGGAGGCCCTTGTGCAAGACTGGAAAAGAAGAAGCCAGATGCATGAAGGAAGTGCTGGCTTCCCTAAGTGGGGGTGTGGGGAGGAGCCCCCTCCCCAGCCGCCGCCTCGGTTCCCAGAGGAGCCTGTCCTCACTTCCCGGCGTGCTCTATACAACTCCCTGTCCCATACATCCTCCCAAAGGCCCTTCCGCAGGGCCCCTCCCCTGCCTGTCCTTAGCTGCTGCAGGAGTATCGGCCATGGCTGGGGCCCTACCGCACTCCCTGTTGCTGCTGCTGTCGCCACTGACAATGCTCCTTCAAGGTGGTAAGTGCCAGGGACTGCCCTGGAGGGCTCTGCCCTAACCAGAGGAGGGGGTCTGGGGGAGAAGATGGCCGGGCCTCTGGAGAGGGGCTGCCCAACCGACTGGGCAGGTCCACTCCAACCCTTCCTCTCCTGCCTCCCCCAGCCTGGAGAGGGGCACAGCAGGCAGGGGTCAGGCCTGCCATCTGTCTCATGACTGCCCAGGGAGAAGGAGCCGGCAGGCCTGGGGCTGGCCTGTCTCCTACAGCCACTTCAGTGTTTCTCCTCTGCTCTGCTCCTCTAGGGAACTCGGCTGGATCCACTGTATACCCTCCCTATGGAGTCTCCCAACCGGCACTTCTCTGGGCCCCCATTGGTGGCACTGTTGAAATCCCCTTCTCCTTCTGGTATCCCTGGAAGTTGGCCAAGAATCCCCACCCGACTATAACCTGGAGAAGAGGCTACTTCCACGGGGAGTTTATCTACAACCACACTCAGGCCTTCAGCCACAAGGATTATAGGAATCGGCTCTTTCTGAACTGGACACAGGGGCAGGAAAGCGGCTCCCTCAGGATCTCGAATCTGCAGCTCAGGGATGACTCCATGTACTTCTGCCGAGTGGGGCTGAACACACAGACAGACGGCTGGCAGGAGTGGCAGGCCCTCAGGGGAACCTCGCTCATCATCACTCCTGGTGAGTCCAGCTGCCCTGGCAGTCTCTAAGCGCACCCCTGCCGAGGCCTTGGTGACCACTGGTGTCCTCACCCCTCGGGCCCCATGCCTGACCCTTCCCTCAATGTCCTCCCCCTGCTCCTGGGCCCCGTCCAGGCCTTTGCCAGCTTTCTCTTTCTCTTTCCCTTAATTATCTCCAGCCCTAAACTCTCTCTCCCTCTCTACCCCTGTCCTCGAGCCTCAGCCCCTGACAGACTCCCAGTTCTCGTCCCTTCTTGCTCCTCACTGAAGCTCCATCTCTGTCTGCTCTGGACCCCACCCTGCATCCTCCAGGGGCAGCTCCCTTCACTTGTCCATGTCCATGTATGGGCACCATGTCTTGTCTCCCATAGCCATCAGCTCAACCCAGAACACCCGGTAGATGCCCAATGGATGGAGGTGGAGCTGTCCAGTGCTCAGCTGACACCCCATCACCTGGTTGTCCAGTCTCCCCATTTTCTGTGCTCCCCAGAACACATCCCTCCCCTCTCCCCTCTCTTGTCTCCTCCTTCTCTGCCTCCAGCCTCTTTACCTTCCTTGCCTCACACTGGCCCTTATCCTCTTCTCCTCATGCCATTATCCCCATCTCCACTCTGATCTTGCTCAGAAACAGCTGCTGCTGCCTGCAGAAGGCCGGGGGCCTGGGTTAAGTAACTCTGTCTGCAATTGCCATGACCCTACCGTAACAGGAGGCACTGCTTGCATCTTCATTTTACTGACAGGGAAACTGAGGCTAGCAGATCTGAACAGCTGCCCAAAGCCTCACTAGTGGGACAGATGGGACTTGACAGACCACTTCCCTGCAGAGGCTCCCCTCTTAATTACCAGTTCTTTGGCTTCGTCTGTGAAGCTGTTCATATTGTTTGCCTTGATCTACTCTGGACTTAACAAGGAAATGCATCGCCTACTTAGTAGGGGCATTGGAACCCGAGGTTTGTCTGTCTGTGAAGTCTGGGAAGTGGGTCTCTCTCAGAGGTGATAATAGGATACACTGGAAAACGAGGTCAGCTATGGGGGTTTGCTTTTTGTGATCACTTGTACTGCTGATTGTAAACAACTTCTGTGATAAATCCCTCCTTCCTTCTGGAATCAATACTCACTGCCTCCCGCTGGTAAACTCCTGAGCAAGACAGCCATGACTTATCTTTCTTGCCACATAAGGAAATATATAGAGGGAACAGGAAACACAGATTGTTATTCTTAATCTCTTCTTCCTTACTTAATTCCTCCTTGCATTTCTCATTTCTCTGCATCAGCATGAGTTTTTCCATCAATATTTTATTCAATTAATTGAATGTGCTGTCCCGTGTGCCTCTGCTCAGGTGTTTTAAAGTAATGAAAGCAGACTACTACACATGCTTCACAAAGATGCTTTGTAAACACAGAGCTCTTAGGAATTCAACATAGAATAGCAAAACTGGGAAATTCCACGAAAGTATTTGAAGATACTATTTGTAGAAACCTCACAGAAGGTAGAAGAAAAAATGCCAAAGGGTTAGCAACTGTGCAGGGGAGTAGATAACAACTCTTCCCCCTCAAAAAAAGATATGTTCACATCCAATCCCTACACCTGTGACCATCACCTTATGGGGCAAAAGAGTAGCTATTACCTTATTTGGTAATAGAATTGAATTAAGGATCTTGCAATGAGATTATCCATGATTAGCTGGGCTGTCCTTAAATGTATTCTCAGTTATCCTTAGAAGAGTGAGATGACACAGATGGAAGAGAAGGCTTGTGGCCACAGAGGCAGACTCTTTAACAATGACATCACAAGTTGAGGGATGCCTGTGAACACCTGCCAGAAAGAACCAAGAACAGATTCTTCTCCAGAGGGAACACAACCCTGCTGCCCCTTGAGCACAGACTTCTGGCCTCCAGAGCTGTGTGAGAACCAAAGTCTGCTATTTTATATCACCCAGATTGTGGTAATTTGTTATAGCTGCCATAGGGAAGCAATACAAAATCTATAATGAGAAGGATTAAGAGTCAAAGTGATCAGTTTCAATTCTGAATTGATCATAATGATAGGAATCAGTGTCAAAATGATCACATAAATCAGACTAGTGTCTGCTAATGCTAACTGATAGAATTAAAAAGGAGAGAACAATACAACATCGGAAGTGGGATACACAGCAGACTCATAGAATGGCAGATGTCCTAAACAGCAGTCTGGCCTCAGAATCAGCCCTTAAGGCATTTGGATATGGCTGAAGAACCCATGAGAGTATTTTAGGCATGGAAAGCCAAGACACTCTGGCAAAAACAAACAAACAAATACCCTAAATGAAAAATCTCTGCAAGTGAGATCACAGTGGAAAGAATGGGCCATCAAAGGAAGAGGTACCTTTCTCTGAAGGGAGGAGAGAACTTCCACTTTGACTATGACCTTGTCTAAATAAGATTGGAGTTGGTGAACTCAAGAGGCTTCCATAGCCTTGGCAACTCATTACAAGAGCCTAGGGTGGCCGGCGCTGCGGCTCACTAGGCTAATCCTCCGCCTTGTGGCGCCAGCACACCGGGTTCTAGTCCCGGTTGGGGCACCGGATTCTGTCCCGGTTGCCCCTCTTCCAGGCCAGCTCTCTGCTGTGGCCAGGGAGTGCAGTGGAGGATGGCCCAGGTGCTTGGGCCCTGCACCCCATGGGAGACCAGGAAAAGCACCTGGCTCCTGGCTCCTGCCATCGGATCAGCGCGGTGCACCGGCCGCAGCGTGCCGGCTGCGGCGGCCATTGGAGGGTGAACCAACGGCAAAAAGGAAGACCTTTCTCTCTCTCTCTCTCTCACTGTCCACTCTGTCAAAAATAAAAAATAAAAAAAAATTAAAAAAAAAAAAAAAGAGCCTAGGGTGATTACTGACACCATAAACAAGACTGTCAATTTGTTAGGTCAACAACAGGAGTCACTGTGCACTTACTCCTCATGTAGGGTCTCTGTCTTCAATGTGTTATACAATGTGAATTAATGCTATAACTAGTACTCAAACAATACTTTACACTTTGTTTCTATGTGGGTGCAAACTGTTGAAATCTTTACTTAATATATACTAAATTGATCTTCTGTATATAAAGATAATTGAAAATAAAAAAACCAGGCTACTCCATGTTAGTTCCCTGATTGGTTCACGTAGCCTACCTTGTTAGCATGCACTTTCAGTTCTTTGATTGGTTCACGTAGCATGCCTAATTAGCATAGGCTTTCAGTACACTGGCTGTTATTCCTGCCTTCAGATTGCTGTTATCCTTGCCTTCTGATTGGTTGCTCTTCTGCTGATTGGTTAAATCTGGATCCAAATTTCAGAAAGGGACCAATCAGAGAGACCCACTTTGTATAAAAGAGCCTGCACTGGCAAGCTTCTTTGGTAGCTCCTCTCTTGGACTCTGCATCCAGACCTTTGTGGCAGGAATAAATCTCACATTGCTTACTGTTTAAAAAAAAAAAAAACTATAGTGAGAGATAAGAACATTAGAGGATCCAACCTCTGAAGGATTGGTGTTCCAGAAACAGAAGAAAGATCGTGGGGAAGATAACAGAGAAACAATGGCAAAAGTTTTCCAAAACAAGCCCAAACAGACGGACAAAAACACAATGACCTGTTCAGCAATACAAAATTCAAAAACACTGGGGACAAAAAGAATATTCTATAAATTTCAAGAAGCACATAGGGAAGTTGGAAAACAATAGTTGAATGCCTTGAAATTACTAGGGAAAGGGGCCGGTGCTGTGGCGTAGCAGGTAAAGCCGCTGCCTACAGTGCTGGCATCCCATATGGGCACTGGTTCAAGTCTTGGCTGCTCCACTTCTGATCCAGCTCTCTGCTATAGCCTAGAATGCAGTGGAAGATGGCCCAAGTCCTTGGGCCCCTCCACCTGCGTGGGAGACCCAGAAGAAGCTCCTGGCTTCAAACTGGCTCAGCTCTGGCCATTGTGATCATTTGGGGAGTGAACCAGCAGATGGAAGACCTCTCTTTCTCTGCCTAACTCTGCCTTTCAAATAAAATAAATCTTAAAAAAATTCCTAGAGAAAAACATTTCATTCGTTTGCTTAACAAATATTTTGACTGTGCCAAGTGCTAATCTGAAAAACAGCCATTTAAAAAAAAAAAAAAACTGGGGTGATATTCGCCTGCTGGTTCAGATGCCTATTGGAATGCCCACACTCCATTACATGTGTCTGGGTTTCAGTCCCAGCTTGATCCCAGTTCCAGTGTCCTACTAATGCAGACCCTGGAGGGCAGCAGCTAGCTGATGGCTCAGGTAGTTAGGTCCCTACCATTTACATCTGGAGACCCAGATTAAGTTCCTAATTCCCAGATGCAAAAGAGGCCTATCCCCAACCTTCTGGGCATTTAGGGAATAACCCAGCAGATGGGAATTCTGTCTCTTTGTACCTCAAGTATGTTTTTTGTTTCTGTATTTGTTTTGGACAGGCAGAGTGGACAGTGAGCGAGACAGAGAGAAAGGTCTTCCTTTGCCGTTGGTTCACCCTCCAATGGCCGCAGTGGCCAGTGTACTGCACTGATCCGATGGCAGGAGCCTGGTGCTTCTCCTGGTCTCCCATGGGGTGCAGGGCCCAAGCACTTGGGCCATCCTCCACTGCACTCCCGGGCCACAGCAGAGAGCTGGCCTGGAAGAGGAGCAACCGGGACAGAATCTGGCGCCCTGACCGGGACTAGAACCCGGTGTGCCAGCGCCACAGGCGGAGGATTAGCCTAGTGAGCCGCGGCACCAGCCAAGAATTTTTTTTTTTAAATGTAGACAGTGATGTAACTTACTTTGTGGTGTAGGAAAAAGATAAATAAGCAAATAAGTGAACAACTTTTATGCCAAAGAAGAGAACAATGAGGCAGATAGGAAGCTGCTGAGGATGTCACTTTAAGACTGATTAGGGAACACCTTGGGGCTCACAGGCAGAGCCCCACAAGAAATGGACATGCAGACAGGGCAACTAGGGAGAACCTGGAGTAAGGCACAGTTTGGGAAACCA